ACATATTTAACATGCTCGAATCCATTGACTGTATTCTCATATTTTTTCCAAAGCTGCAGGGTTTATGCTCAGAGGGGTAACATATTTTTTTCTAGAAGTCGGCTACTGCAGGCACCAGTGGCTCACACCTGAAATCTCAGCTACTTTGGAGGCAGAGATCAGGAAGATTGAAGTTTGAAGCCAGCCCAGGCAAATAGTTCTTAAGACCCCATCTCAAAAAAAAAAAAAAAACTAGAGCAAAATGGACTGGAGGTGTGGCTCAAGGGGAAGAACACCTGCTTTACAAGTGCAAAGCCTTGAGTTCAAACCTCAGTCCCATCTAGAAAAAAAGAAGTCTACTACTATTAGATATCTTCCTTCCAACTTCATTTTATTGGGATAATTGGTGTTAAGACAGGAATTCTCATTTTCTTATGAATTGTACAAAGAGGTTGAATTGTGATGTGTCCATATATGCATGTAATATACTTTGGTCAAATTCACCTCCTCTGTTACTCTTTCTTATCCCTCTAAGATGAGGATTTACTTTAATTTTGCTTCCAATTAATCATTAATTATCCAAGCACCATTTATTTCATAATAATCAGCATCAATTTTGGTGCTACCTTTATAATAGCATCCAGTTTTATTGCATTTATATTTCATGTATCTCCTTAGATTTAGGCCAGGTTCAAAATGCCTTGATGAATACAGATTGTATACATATTTTCACAAAAAGAAAAGAGCATCCCTCTACTCCTCATTGTAAAAAGTATCATGTCCAATTATTCTTTGTGGAAACCATGCTTAAATTGCCTTTCCAATATTCACTTCTCAGAATTACTCAAATGCAGTAGAGAGTACAATCCTGTCCTCAGAAACCAAAATCTATGGGCTTAAATACCAACTGGGCCCTTCACATAGTTACAGATATGTAACTCTGCAGAAATGTCCTTTGAGGTCTCTGAGCCTGTTCCCTGAACTGTAAAATGAAGGTAATGGTGACTGGCCATGGTGGCTCATGTCTATAATCCCAGCTACTTGGGGTGCAGAGGTAGGAGAATCATAATCCAAGGTCAGGCTGGGCAAAAGCTTGAGATCATATCTGAAAAACAAACTAAAAGCAAAACTTCTGGAGGCATAGCTCAAGTGGTAGAGCACTCACCAAGCAAGCAAGAAGCCTGAATTCAAACCCCAACTGGAAGTACAGAGCAAGACCTTTCTCTCTACAGATGATAGATGATTGATAGATAGACAATGACAGATAGATAGATATAGATATATAGATGATAGATAGATAGATGATAGATGATAGATAGATAGGAAGGAGAAAAAAACTAAAAAGAAAGGGAGGCCACATAAAGATAGGAGCAAATTGGAGTGATGTGGCCACAAGCCAAGGAATGAATGAAACCACCAGAACATGGAAGAGACCTGCAAGGAGTCTTCCTTAGGTCATTTGAAAGATGCTCAAAGTCAGTACTTTGTGAACTTCATTGTGGCTTCCAAAAGCATTAAAAAATAAATTTCTGCTGTTTGAAGTGACCTAGATTGTGATCATTTGTTACAGCAGTCACAGGACACTAGAGTGGGCCATGGGGAGGATTCTTGGAGTATTTGGAGGATCACATGAACCAGCAGCTATGGTGTGGCCTCATGTTGTGCTGATCTGCTCACTGGTGTGGAGCAGCAAGTGACTGTGCAATTTCACTGTGTTCCCATAGGTCCTCCTTCAGCTACTCTGCCTCCTGGCCAGGGGTGTGTGTGTGTGTGTGTGTGTGTGTGTGTGTGTGTGTGTGTGTGTGTGTGTGTGTGTGTGTGTGTGTGTGTATTTAGCTCCATGAAAAAATGCCTCATAGTTCTGCAGGATACACTCCTTGTCATGGCAAACACAGGTGGACACAGGTTCCCTTCTGTCCTCTCTATGATTTTCCCATCTTTTGCTTGTGATTTCCAGCTACATTTTTTAGGCCTGGGGTTTGAACTCAGACCAGGCACTCTGCCATAAGACACACCTCCAGTACATTTTGCTCTGGTTATTTTGGTGATGGAGTCTCCGAAACTATTTGCCCAGACTGGCCTCAAACCGCAGTACTCTCCATCTCAGCCTCCCAAGTAGCTAGGACCACAGGGATGAGCCATCGGTGCCCATTTTCCAGCCTTCTCATTTTACATCCATCTTCTTTTTCAGGAAGAACCCAGAAAGCAAGTCATGTTTTACAACAGATTGCCTCTGTCTTCAAAAATAGATTCAGGTGTCTTAATCTGGTTGCCACAGGGGAATTGAAAGAATGAAAAGATAATCTAAATGTCAGCTGTGGTGACTCACACCTGTAATCCCAGCTTGGAAGGCTGAGGCAGAAGGATTCTGAGTTTGAGGCCAGCCTGGGTTAAATAGTAACACAATCTCAAAAGAAGGAGGAGGAGGAAAAAAGGGAAAAAAAAGAGAGAAAATCTAATCCAACATACCATTTCTCCAAAAAAATTGTCTCCATTTCCCTCACCCCAGAGGATAAAAGCATTTGGGGTTTTTTTTAGCACAGACTACTGTAGTTTAGATCTGGAGTGTATTAAAGGCTTGTTCCCCAGTTTGGCACTACTGGGAAGTAGTAGAACCTTTCAGAGGTGGGGACTAGTGGGAGATCAATAGGTCATTGGAGGCATATCTTCAAAAGCGATTGTTGGATCCCAGTCTCTTTCTCTTTCTCTGATTTTGCACTCCCACCATCATGTGATACTACCCACAGGCCCAAAACAACAGGCCAACTAACAGGACTAAAACCTCCAAAACTGTGAGCCAAAACAGACACTTGTTCTTTATAAATTGACTATCTTGGGTATTTGTAAATGAAATTTTCAAATGAAATGAAGTTTTCATTTCATGCACTATGAAGCAAGGATGTCGGTTGAAATTCCAGCTGGAGACTGGAATCCCTAGAATTTTTCTGGGGTCCAATATGGAGTAGAGGCTCTATAACCACAGCTTTTTCAGTCTTTGACCACAAGTGTCTCAGTGATGACCACAAATAGATTACTGACAATCTGAAGTCTTTTCTCCTCTTTTCTCAATAGCTGTACCCAAATTCTCTTAGGATTCTAAAGAATGGTGTGGAGGTATCCTAAAACATACCTGTACTTTGATTTCCCTCCCTTCTTGGAGTGTATGCTTAAGTACAGCTTAAGTTAATGTTCCATTGCTTGGACAAAGAGGACATGGAGTTTAGCTGAGCTATGTGCAACCCAAAATTTCCTGTATCAGAACCTTACTTCCTCATTGCAGTTTTGGAAGGTGGTACCTACTAGAAGCTGTTTGGATCACCAGGGTGGAGCCTCCATAAAGGGAATAATGCCTTTCTCGTGGGAGTGGGTTCATTATCAAGTTCAGCCCCTTTGTCTCTTGCTTGTGCGTGCTCTCTCCCCTTCTGACTTCCACTATGTTATGAAGCAGCATGAGACCCTTATCAGAGGTAGCTGCCAGATATTGGATTCCCCAGCCTCCAAAACCATAAGTTTACATAAAATTCCTTACTTTATAAATTACTCAGTCTCAGGTATCCTGCTATAGCAACAGAAAATGGATAAAGACACCCGGTTTCCTCATCTTTGATTTTCCCAAGCCTTGGATATCCCACCTGGTTCACTAAGTTGCACAAAAATAATATTGTGTCCCCCCTTTGAATGTCAACTTAAATATTAATAACAAAAAGCAGCACTGAAAAATAGGCACAATGTGTGTGGGGGGGGTACTATTGGGAGGGGGATGGTGAAGGAAGGAGATTAAGGTGATGGTACATGGTTGATGGATTTCATATACCTATATGAAACAGAATTTTAAAAAACCTCTTGCAGTTTCTCTAAGTGGAGTGGGCTGGGGGCTGAGGGGGAGAGATGATGGGGGCAATGTAAATGATGCACAATATAAGTCTAATCAGAATTGTCACTATGAATCCTCCCCCACATAATAAATGTATCCTAATAAAAATTATAATTAAAATAAAGTGATACTGTATCTAATGTTCACCCTTGTGTAGAAAAGAGACACAGGATAATCAGTCTTAGCAGAGAAAAGCTGGGGATACCAGACCCAGCTACCCCCCCCATAAGAAATTACTTCCCTTCATTTTCAATCTCAGTGTTCAGTAAATGGTTAACTCACAGAGCTTGGGGTGCTCACAGCCTGTATATCCCAAAGAAAGGAAGGGTCCTTGACTGCCTCCTGGGATATGACCTCTGATCTTTGCATTAATCTTCCTGATAAGAATGTCTGCAAACCCAGGGCCTCAGGCCATACCACAGAGTGTCTACTATCAATAAATGCTATGGTGAATCCCTGGTGTTGTTCATCTTGTGCCATGGACTGGGCTGTATTAGACTGCCCTTTGGGAAGATTGAAAAATGAATAGTTAAGGTTAGCAGGTGCTCCATGCTCCTGTAACTGAGCCCCAATAAAACTGTGGACACCAGTGCTCAGGACAGCTTCCTCCATTGGCCGTACACAATGTGACACATGACTGCTGGAAGAAGTCAATAATATCCAGAAGGAACTGGAAAGTCATGACATCTATCCTGGACTCTGTCCCATCCATCTTCTGCCTTTGTTGATTTTTTTCCAGTACTGAAGATTGAACCCAGGGCCTCACGGATGCCAGGCAAACCCTCTACCACTTGAGCCACACCACCGGTTCTCCTTTGTTGGTTTCTATTAGTATTTTTCACTGCAATTAACTGTAACCATGAGTATAATGATTTTTCTGGTTCTATGCATCTTGTGAATCATTAGATCTGAAAGTGGTATTGGGGATTCCAACATAAAACCCACAGATAGTGTTTTATTATGAGAAATAGTGTGTTTTCCCCCCTTTGCCTTCTTCAACTCCAACACTCCTTGAGAAAACAAAGGACACGAGTTGACTTTTCTTCTTGTTGGATTTGAAGCTTTCTCCCCCTAACCCCAAGAGAAATGTCTTCTTCATTCTTACCCCCCTACCTCAAGTTCTCAGCACACACTCAGAGACCTTGGATACTTTTCATTCCTGGTCCTTTATCTCAGTTTCCCCCACTCCAAACAAGCCAAGCAGAACATGTGTGTTCAGCCCACTGTCACTGGGTAGCAGATTACCCCCAGGGCTCTCCTCACCAGCCCCCTTCCCTCCTCCCTGCTGTGCTGGAGGCCCCTCACATGGCACTCTCATTACCTCCCCGGCCCCTGGATGCCCCCTTTTCTTGTGCCATGAGTGACTTGTAGGGCTTCCCCAGGCTGGGGAGGGTGAGCTCAGCTTCCTGCAGGTCCAGCTCCTGCTGAGACAGATGCTCAATGACAGCTGCTCCAATTGAGTCTCCCAGCACATTGGTCATCGTACGAAGCCGGTCACTGGTGGAGGAGAGAGAGAAGATGCCATTAATGGGGGACTGAATAGCAGAGGGCAGCATACAGCAAGGGGTACAGCCAGGGAGTAAGGACTCATGTTCAGGTTCAAACCAAAATCACATGACCTTGAGCAGGTCTCTCTCCTCTGTGTCCTCAGTTTCTCTTCCTAACAAACTCAGATTGGCTCAGTTTCTGAGATGGTCAGCTTTGCTCTTAGCAATGCGATTTTTGTTTCTGAAGATGTGAGCACATGATAGAGACAATTAGGCCTGAGTCAACATGGTGTTAACCAGCACAAGGAGGTAACTATCCACATGGAACTTAGGACCAGCCAACAGCTCCCATATGGGGAGGAAAGTTCAATTTTTTTTCATGTAGTCTTCATGTTAGAAAGAAAAATGAAACAGGCAGGTGCAGTGGTTCATGCCTATAATCCCAGCTGGTCAGGAGGTAGAGATCAGGAAGATCATGGTTCAAGGCCAATCTGGGCAAAAAAAAGTTAGCAAAACTACATGCTGGAGATGTGGCTCAAGTGGTAGAGCCTAGTAAGTGCATAGTCCTGACTTCAAAGCCTGGCACTGCCAAAAACAAATAAAAATAAGTTAGCAAAACTGCATCTCAACAAAAAAGCACAGTGGTTCATGTGTGTTCTCCCAGCAACTCAGAAGGTGGAGACAGGGTGGACTGTGGTTCAAGGGCCGCCTGTTCAAGCCCCATCTCAATCAATAAGCTAAGAGTGGCAGTGTCTGCCTGTGATTCCAGTAATTCAAGAGGCATGAGTAGAAGGGTCATAGTCCAGACAAAAATGCGAAACCCTACCTGAAAAGAACTTGAAGCAAAAAGGGGCTGGGAACATGGCTCAAGTGGTAGAATGCCTGCCTAGCAAACACAAGACCCTAAGTTCAAACCCCAGTATCACCAAAAAGAAAAGAAAACAGAAAGATGGAAGAAGAAAAAAGATGGAGAGAGAAAGAAATGGAGGGAGGCAGGGACAGACAGAAGAATGAGGGAGGGAGGGAGGAAAGGAAGAAGGGAGGGAGGAAGGGAAGAAGGGAGGGAGGGAGGGAAGAAGGGAGGGAGGGAAGAAGGGAGAGAGGAAGGGAAGAAGGGAGGGCGGAAAAGAGGAAGGAAGGAGCTTTTTTATTTGCTTCACAAGTTCATGACATCTTGGCTGGAAAGAACATAAATCCATCAAAGCTTATCTCTTAAAGTTATCTATCCCTCATAAAAAATGAATTTTATCAATCAAAATTCCTCACTAAAGTTATAGATAATCTGTGTTTTCCTCTCACTTACAAAATTCTTCTTGGATTCAAAATTAAATCTTCTCACCAGGAATAAAAAACACACCTGTTTTTAAAAGTTGGAAATTTATATATATATTTACAAGTAGGCTAGGGTTTGGGGTGTGGCTCCAGTGGTAGAGCGCCTGCCTAGCAAGCACAAGGCCCTGAGTTCAAACCCTAGTACCACCAAAAAAAAAATGCAAACCAGATCTGCCCCATAGGCCATTTTTTTATGATTTCTAAATGAAATGTGCCAAAGAAGAGCCATTTTAGTTTTCAAGGGTAACTCTGTGAACTTCAGGAATCCACAGCCATGGTTTTCAGGACTCTCCAAATCCCCCCTTCTCTCTGAAATTTAGAACTCTGTCCTTTCAGGATCCTACAGGGGAAAGTAAAAGGAGCCAACACCTTCCAGCCAAAGAACACTCACAGAAACCAGTCCACAGCTATGATCAGCGTGATGTCTTCTGTAGGCAGGCCAACAGACGTGAGCACAATGACCATGGTGACCAGACCGGCCTGGGGAATGCCAGCCGCCCCAACACTGGCTGCTGTGGCCGTAATGCTGCAAGTGGAGAGAGGACATGGGATCTCAGGAGGAGGAAAGAGAGTGGGGGAAGGGGCAGCAGTCAGATCCCTAAATCATCTTAAATTCCCAAGCTAGCAGAAAAAGAAAAATACTGCAAGATCTCACTTATAGATGGAACCTAAAACAAATCAAAGTCATAGAAGGAGAGAATAGGATGGTGACTACCAGGGGAGGGAGGTTGGCGGCGGAGGCAGGGGGGGAGATGTTAGTCAAAGGGTCTCCAGTTTCAGTTGAAAGATTGGTAAATTCTGGGAATAGAATTTTGCTAAGAGAGTAACCCTTAATTGTTCTCAACACAAGGGGAAAGAGAGAGAGAGAAGGAGGGAGGGAGAGAGGAGGAAGGGGAAGGAAGTGAGGTAGGGGAGGGAGGGAGGAAGGAAGGAAGGGAGGGAGGGAGGGAGGGAAGTTGAGAGAGAGAAAGAAAGATAGAAGGAAGGAAGGAGGGAGGGAAGGAAGGAGGGAGGAAGGGAAAGTGAGAGAGGGAAAAAGAGATAAAAAGAAGGAAGGAAGGAGGGAGGGAGGGAGAGAGGGAAAAGGTAACAATATGAGGTTATGAATAAATTAATTGGCTTGATTGGGCTAATCACTTCACAATGTATATGTGTATTAAACCACCACATTCTACACTTTAAATATATATACTTTTATTTGTAAGTTACCCTCTGTAAGACTTGGGGAGAGAAATTCTATTTGTTTTCTAACTATATAAACCCACCACATTAGAGATGGACCATCTCAGTTCTAGAGATAGTTCTTAGATAAAATTTGTACAATTTTTAGAATGAATCAACATGGTGCTAAGAGTGTAACTCAGCCATTGAGCTGTTGCCTAGTGAGGCCCTGGGCTCTATCCTCAGCATGTTAATTAATTGATTGTTTGTTTTAATTAAGTTAAAATGTGGGGGGTCAGACTGTATCAAGAATGGACTATATTTCAACTCTGGCATCAACTCTGATTACCCACTATGCTGTGCTGAAAAGGATCCTAAAATCCACTAAGCTTACCAGGAAAGTTATTAATGCCCTATGGTGGCCTCTGAAGCAACCTACAGTCGTGAACTTGGAGCCATGGACAATGCTTAGGAGAGGTGATGGCGCTATAAGAACGGTGACAGGGCAAATGCTTGGACAAGCAATAGAGAACAGTCTTTGGGATCCAGCAAACTCATTAATGAACTCTGTACAACCTTAAACATGAACTCACAGCCTTCAGGGCTTCATCCATAGAGGGGAGAGATACACCACCCCTTCTCACTGTGCACAGTAGAAGAGCACAGTGCTAGCACATAACAAATGCTTCAGTGGTATCAGTGATTGCTGTCAAAAATACGCCTTCAAATGAGAGGAACCAAGAACTCCACATTCTATAAACTTAGTACTGTTTCAGAGCAGGACTAAGAAACTCATCTCATTAAGGAGACATGAAGACACCAATGGCCCAATTTGGGGATAGAAGAAGGCCATTAAAATGTACTGATGTGGCTGAGCCTGGTGGCCTGTAATCCTAGCACTGAGGATGGAGAGGCAGGAGGATCATGAGTTCAAGGTCAGCCTAGACTACACAGCAAGTTCAAGGCCAGCCTGGGCTACGCACCGAAACCTTGTCTCAAAAAACATAAGGTCTGGGGACACGGCTCAAGTGGTAGAGCACTTGCTTAGCATGCATGAGGTCCTGGGTTCCGTCCCCACCACCACAAAAAAAAAAAAAACTACTGATGTGTACAGAAAACTAAAACTAATTTTGTTGAGAATTATTTTAGGAATAAAGTTTTTACTCTCTTTATGTTAAAATGTTGCTGGAATGAGTTTCAAAATTTTTACCCTAATTCATTCATGGAATTAGTTATAGACTTCAGAACAGAATCCATTTCTATCTCATTCTCTAATTCCAAATTGCTCAATTCTATAATAATAGAATCTATGTTAATACATTTAATCAATACTAACAAATTTAGGGTTTCTTGTTAATATATTAATAAATAATATAACAATTTAATATATTTGCCTTGAAAATTGTTAAGATATCATAATGGGGATTTTGTCAATAGAATATTCATAATGAATAAATTTTGTATGTCAGCAGTCATAATCCCGAGTTGGTTTCTTGGGACCAGGCAGAATGAGCTTACTCCATTCTGCCCTTGGAGGGCGCCCGCAGATCAGTGATATGTGGGAGGCAAGCATCTGGAGGAGAGGTATTCTCCTGCTCCTCCCCTGAGACCCCATTCATGAAATTCTCCATGCTTCTTTTTCCCCTAATCAAGCCAAATCTAAATAGGATACATGAAGGAGAAATTGTGGAGTTTTGAGAAAATGAAATTTTATTTATTAAAATATTTTTTCTTTGTGAAGTTATTTAGTGCCATATATATCAACACCTTGTAGCACATTACATCAGAATCAGTAGTTCTAATATACAGTATTCATACCAGAGTTGGGATCACACTTAAATTTGTAAAATGTTTATTTTATTTTAGGACATTCTATATAAAACTTCTTTTTTCAGCAGTGTTGGGGTTTGAACTCTGGTCCTCTCACTTGCTAGGCAGGCACTCTACCACTTAAGTCACACCGAGGTCCTTTTTTTTATTCATTTATTCATATGTGCATACATTGTTTTGGCCATTTTTCCCCCCTACCCCCTCGCTTCCAGGCAGAACCTGTTCTGCCCTTTTCTCCAGTTTTGTTGAAGAGAAGACATAAGCAATAATAAGACAGACAAAGCGTTTTTGCTAGTTGAGATAAAGATAGCTATAGAGAGAGATTCCTGGCATTGCTTCCATGCACAAGTGTGTTACAACCCAAACTGACTCAGCTCTACTCGACCTTTTCACTAGTTTCCAATCACCTTCTCATATTGACCTCTGTCGCTTTAAGGGTACTGTATTAGCTCCTTTGTAGTGGGAACATCAAACACTTTTGAGTTTGGGTTTCCTACCTATCTCCATACCTCCCATATGTGCTTTCTCCTTAGCGTATGACCCAAGTCCAACAACCTTGCTGCCTTTGCCCTAGATCTAAAGCCCGCATATGAGGGAGAACTTGCCAGCTCACCGTAAGCCTCATCTTACATTGGGCTCTTCCCACCTCCACCTTCCCCAATTGTAGCTCCCTCCTTTCCCGAGTCAAATGGATGATCTTAGCAGTCTCACCTAAGCTGCCTCACCTGATTGTGGTGATCTGGCCCAAGTTGAGCTCGTAGTTGTTGACTTGAGCAATAAAAATGGCGGCCAAGGCCTCATAGAGTGCGGTGCCATCCATGTTGACGGTGGCTCCCACAGGCAGCACGAACCTGGTGATGCGGCGGTCCACACCCAGGCCCTCCTCCAGGCAGCGGAAGGTAATGGGCAGAGTCGCAGAGCTACAAGGAGAGAGACCCAGGGGCTGAGAAAGGGGAGTAGTAGGGCAGTAATGGTCCAAAGAGGACTTCCCTTGACAACACGGAGAGAGCCAGGCAGGAACTCAAGCAATAGGAGAGCAAGTGTATAACATTTCAGAGGCTGAAAGATGGGCACAGGGAAAAGGGTTGCTCCTGATGGAAGGAGACCTCAGCAATTGAGTTACCCCCAAGGTAAAGGTCTCTTGACCCACTTAAAGCCAGTAGTTTAAGGCCAATAACTTATGCCACTAAACTGCTGATCTCCCATATCTTAGGACAAAGGAGGAGAGCTATTCACAGGGCACTTCAGCTACACTGACTCTCAACCTTTCCCCACATTTCCCAGAGGAGGAAGAGTGACTTCATTGACTGGTGAGTTTAGTAGAAGTGGGCATTGCATTTGGAGTCAACTTGTCCACAAGATGTGTGTTTTATCTGGTCAACTTTACCTCATGCAGTGAGAAGCCTCAACTCACTTAATTCTGGGGTACAGTGGCACCAATCTTATTTAGCCACAGACCAAAAGGCACATTCTCCAACCAGCATTATAAGCAATAAAAAAAATTATATTTTTCTTCCATTTCTTTGACTCTTTGAGTACCTTCACAAATTGTTTTGATTTGGAATGATGAGAGATTAAGAGGGAAGTCTTTCTTAACCCCCCTAAATGCACAGGAGAGAGAGAGAGAGACAGACAGAGAAAAGGAAAACAAGAGAGCTTCCAGACTAGAGGGAAGATAAGGTTCTCTGATCTAGAAAATGACTGAGCTCACAGGGCATCCTGGACCAACATCTTCAACTCAAAATTGGCACCTGGTTCTCCTCTATATAAAATGGAGAAATAGACCAGGAGAGCCATCCCAGGACAAAAGACTAGAATCCCAGGTACTGGCCACCTGGAGACCTGCAAGAGCTCCCAACAGTGTTGTACAACCAGAAGAGGTGTCTACATCAGAAAAGCAGGACCCCTGGAAGAACCCATAAAAGATGAGGAATCAACCCAGAGAGAGTGAGGGGTGAGGCCATACCTGGAAGAGGTGCCTACGGCAGTAATGAGGGCCTGCAGCATACCCCCAATGAAGGGGAAGGGGTTCCGATGGGTGATGAGGAAGTAGATGAGGGGCAAGACACCGCCAGCATGGAGAAACAAGCCCACGATGACAGTCAGTGTGTACATTCCCAGCTGACCTCCAAGGACTGCCATGTCTTCCATTTCCAGAATCTTACCGGCAATCAGGAACAGGATGCCCACAGGTGTGTACCTGGGCAAGCCACACACCTGTTAGGAATTCCTCTGGCTCTCTCTTATATGTCTGTTATTCAATTCTTTGCTGCACAGTCACCATCCCCAAGGCTTTACCCATATAAATTCCTGGAACCAGGCAGTGCCAACCATACAGCCTCCTACTCTACTCCATCCTGTCTCATATTAACAAACAGCACTAGTGTTATAGTTTGGATCTGAATTATCCCCGAAAGGGCTAAAGGCTTGGTCTCAATGCAGCAGTGTTCAGAGAGGGCTTGACCTCATCCATGGATTAATCCATTGATAGGTTAATAGCTTAATGGGCCATTGGGAGGTAGTGGAAACTGTAGGAGGTAGAGCCTAGTTCAAGGAAATAGATAATTGGATTTGTGCCCTCAAAGGGTGTATCTGTCCTCTCTCACACTCTCTGCTTCCCGATTTGTTCCACCATGATGGTCTGCCTCAACACAGGCCCAGAAATCATGGAGCCAGACCACCAGGGACTGAAACCTCCAAAATGTGAGCCAAAGTAAATCTTTCCTCCTTTAAGTTGTTTCTACCAGGTATTTCATCACAATGATGGAAACTAACACAACTGGGTCTCACAAACATGTCCCACCTCCTCTTCCTCCTGCTCACCCACTGCTACCTCTAACAGCAGAAAAATTCCACGAGAGCCAGCACACACAATTTTATGAGATCTTCATCTCACAACAGCATTCAAACCCTCCTCTCCCATTCCAAATAACCACTGCCTTCAGGATCCCTTCCTTACACATTGCTGAGACAACCTGTCTCCAGCCTCATTATTTGCTACCCCTAACCCTTTGTTCCATATTTGTAATTCTTATACCCTATTCTCCTCCTCCTCCTCTCTTCCTCCTCCTCCTCCTCCTCCTCCTCCTCCTCTTCCCCTTCTTCCTCTTCTCCTTCTCCTTCTTTCCCTTCCCCTTTCCCTTTTACTCCTTCCCCTTTTTCGCTTCCTCCTCTCTCTCCTCCTCCTCCTCCTCCTCCTCCTCTCCCTCTTTCTTCTCCCCCTCTCCCTCCTCCTGCTTCTCCTCTTCTTCTTCATAGTACTGGGTATTGAACCTCAGACCTTGTGCATCCTAGGCAAGCCCTCTACCCTTTTGAGCCATGCCCCCAGCCCTTTGGGGTATTTGTGTTTTGTTTTTTAGATAAGGTCTCACTAACTTTGCCCAGGGATGGCCTCGAACTCAGGATCCCCCTTACCTCTACATCCCAAGTAGCTAAGATGACAAGCACATGTCACCGTGCCCAGCTCTATTCTCACTAATCCACCAGCTTCAACTATTTCACAGAATTTCCCCCTGACTTCCCAAACCACCTATCCTATCAAAATTACCTGTTTCTTCCTCATTTATTCAACAAATATCTAGTAAGTTCAGGCACACGTTTTCTGCTCTCACAGCTTTTACATTCTGTTGGGGACTGTATTATGATGTGTGGACTTCCAGAAGTCATAAGGGAGCCCAACCTCCCCATGCAGCATCACCATCCACTGAGGCACAGTCTACCACTCACCAGATAATGATGCCCACCAGTCTCATAATAGCCTCATTGAGGCTGTCGAAGAAATCCCTCAGGACTCGGCCTTTGTGTTTCATGCCACCGATGACCAGCCCAAAAGCCACAGAGAAGACGACAAGACCCAGGGCATTGATGCCATTGGCAGAACCAGGCACAGGCACAGTCTCCTCAAAGCTCAGCACCTCCTGCAGGGTGCCCAAGGCCCGAGTGACATTTTCCAAGATGCTGGTTTCATTCTCCATCGAGGATGGAGGAGACATCGATGCACCCAGCTCAGACCCATTCTCCGTCCTCACGATGGTCCTGGTTACCACTCTCGTGCTGTACTGCGTCTTGAACTGAAATACAGAGAGGTTGGGCCAGGACTCAATATGGTGGCTATAATCAGAATCACCTGGAGAAATTTCCAAGAACACAAATTCCTGGTTCGCACACCCTTTAAAGTCTTGTACGGCACATCTGAGTGAATGGGGCTGGAAGTGTGGCTCAAGAAGTAGAGTGCCTGCCTAGGTAGAGCAAAGTCCTGAGTTCAAACCCCAAGGCCACCAAATATTCCCAGACACCAGTGACTCATGACTGTAATCCTAACTACTTGAGAAGCTGGGACTGAGAGGATTGCAGTTGGAGGGTAGTCTGGGCAAATAGTTTTTAAGTAACCAGAACAAAATGGACTGGAAGTGTGGCTCAAGCAGTAGAGCACTTGTTTTGCAAGCAGGAAGTCCTATGTTCAAACTCCAGTCTTATCAAAAAAAAAAGTGAATGAATGATTTGACCAATGCATAGAAGAAGGCATGAATGAATTACTACAGCCTCTATGGAAAACAACAGCAAAGTTTTTCAATAAAAATAAATGTAACTACTATATGAGCCAGAAATCTCACTGCCTGTATACAACCAAAAGAAATGAATTTAATATGTCAAAGAGATAGAAGTTGAGTGTCTCTAACCCAAACATCCAAAATGCAAAATGCTCCAAAATCTGAAACCTTTGGACTACCAACATGATGTAAATGGAATATCCACACCTGACCTCATGTGACAGGATACAGTCAAAATACAGGTACCCTAAAAATACTGCATTAAATTACCTTCAGCCCATGTGGATAAGGTGTACAAGGAACATAAATAAACTTTGTGTTTCAACTTGGGTCTTATTACCCAAGATACCTCATTACGTATATGCAAATATTCCAGAATGCAAAACAAATCCAAAATCTGAAACACTTCTGGTCCCAAGCATTTCCAATAAAAGATTCTCAACCTGGTATTTGTGCTCCCATGTTCACTGCAACAGCATTTGCTGTTGGATAAAGAAAATGTGGTATGCATACACACGATGGAATACTATTCAACCTTTAAAAAGATCAAAATCTTGTTGTTTCCAATGACATGAATGAACCTGGAGAACACTATGTTTAGTGAAATAGGTCAGGCACAGAAAAACAAATACTGTACAATCTCAGTTATATGTGGAAACTAAAAAGTTGATATCATAGAAAAAAAAGGGCAAAATGGAGGTTACCAAAGACTGGGTTAGTTGGTGGTGGAGATGTTGGTCAAAGGATACAAAATTTTCATATGACAAGAAGAAATTCAAGAATTCTATTCTATAGAATGGTGACTATAGTTAATAACAATGTATTCTATACTTAAAAATTACTGAGAGTGGATTTTAAGTGTTTTCAACCTAAAAAAATGGTAAGTGTGCAAGGAAATGTGGAGGTTAATTGGCTTGACTTAGCCATTCCACAATGTAAACATATTTCAAAGCATCATATCATGCCATAAATATATATAGTATATATATATATATATATATATATATATATACCATAAATATATGCTATATATGTATGTATATAGATATAGATTCCACATCCATGGATTCAGCCAACCATGGATCCAAATATTTGGGAACAAAATTGTTTCTGTACTGAACAAGTATGACTTTTTTCTTGCCATTATTCCCTAAACAATATAGAATAACTATGTACATTGTATTCTAAGTCACCTAGAGATAATTTTAAGTATATAGGAAGACATGTGTGTGTTCTATGCAAATACTATTACTATGTTGTAGAAGGGACTTTGAGCATCCACAGATTTTGGAATTTGGGGACAATCCCTTGCCAATGCCAAAGGACACCTATACAAGTTTTTTTCAACTGAATCTTTTTAATAAAAATAATTGTTAAGAATGAGTGAGGCTGGGCACCATGATGTGCACAGTCATCCCAGCTGTGCAGGAGGCTGAAATTGGAAGGATCGTGGTTCCAGGCCAGCCTGAGCAAAAAAAGTTCTTAAGACCTGATCTCAATAGAAAAAGCTGGGCATTGTGTTTCATGCCTGTCATCCCAGCTACTGCAGGAAGCATCAATAAGCAGGATTGCAATCTAGGCCTATCTGGGCAAAAAGCAAGACTCTATCTCAAAAATGCCAAGATCAAAAAGGGCTGGAGAGTGTGGCTCAAGTTGCAGAGCACCTGCCTAACAACCACGAAGCCCTGAGTTGAAACTCCAATATCATCAAAAAAAAAAAAAAAAAGAAAAAAGAATGAGCAAATGAATAGACAAATGAAGGAGTGAACAACCAAAGCATGAGAGTAAGTATAGATTTTGCATTTTTCACAAGCTCCCTGGGCAATGCTCAGTCAGATTTCAGGACCTCTCTCATCACCATCTACAGTCAGAAGTCCTGGGATCTCTACCCCAGCCTCAGGCCTCCTCTACTCCTGTGGCCAGAGAGCTCTTGGCTTAAGTTCTCCTTTCTTCTTGGCCATGATACCCATAGGAATTATATTTCCTCCCCCAGCATCTTCCAAAGGTCCTTGCTCATTGATCCTCCCACCCCTCACCTTGGGCCATCCACTCAGCAGCAAGCTCTCTCCCACCCTCCACACCTCCTTGACCAAACTGGGTAATCCCCCCTGACCTGTTTGAAGCAGGCCTCCACAAGGTTGGGTGGAAACATGTTTCTGCAGGAAAACAAAGGAAGGAACGTGGTTAGCCCTTGGAAGAAAGTCTAAGGTAGTCATTGTAAAAATAGCAACAATAATAATGGCAGCTGACATATGGATGCTGGATGCAGGCCAGACACCAAACAAAGTACCTAACCAGTAACTTGTAGGTTACTTATGATAACCTACAAGTGAGTGCTGTTATTGCTGCCACTTCACACACAAAGAAACAGGCTGGGCACAGTGGCTCACACCTATAATCTTAGCTACTTGGGAGGCTGAGATTGGGAAGATTGTGGTTTGAGACCAGCCAAGGCAAATAGTTCCAGAGAGCCCAAATAGCCAGAGACTCCAAAATAACCATAGCAAAATGGACTGGAGGTATGGCCCAAGTGGTAGAGTGTCTTCTTTGCAAACTCAAAACCCTGAGCTCAAACCCCAGTCCCACCAAAAAAAAGAGAAAGAAGGAAAAGAAAACAAAACCAAATCACAGAGAATCTGCATATGCTTCCCAGAGCCAGAGTTGCTAAAAGGTGGAGATGGACCTTGCAATGGTTTGAGTATGGTTTGTCCCCTCCAAAACTTATGCGAAATTTGATTACCATTGTGGAGGTATTAGGAGATGGGGCCTTGAAGCCTTGGTTCATGGGGGTTCTGCTGTCATAAGTGAATTAATCCATTTGTGGGGAGTGGCTTTATTCTAAAAGAAAGCTCCCTCTGGTGCACTTGCTGTCTCACCATGGGATGCCCTCCACCATGTTGTAATGTAGTAAGAAGACCCTCACCACATTCCAGTGCCAAATTCTTGGGCTTCCCAGCCTCCAGAACCATGAACTAAATAAACCTATAGTCTACAACTCACCCAGTCTCTGGTATTCTGTTACAATAACAGAATAAGACAGACCTCAAATCTAGTTCAGTATTGGCACTTTGCCAGGGTCCTATATCAGCTCAAGACTTCAATTCAGACATACATGCCAACGATAAATCAAAAGAAAACCTAGTTCTTAAACTCTTCCAGTTCTAAGTTCTCCCCGACACTGGTGACTAGGGTAGAAATATGACTAGCCTTGATTCTGGCTAGCAAAATCTTGCTGCACTAAGAGAGTCATTCATCCTCCAATGGAGCTTGAGAATACCAGATAAGCAACAACTGTTCCAGGCTCCTCCCAAGATGGCACAGCTGTAGCCTCTCCAGCCTAAGAATGCAAAGATCAAATCCTAGGAGCAGCTCCCTCAGAGGATGTGTGCAAGTCTCCAGGACAGAAAATGGGTACCAAAAATGGGAACCAGTGGGTGTTTCCATTTCCAGGCTGGGTCCCCCATCCTTTCTGTCTCCTTGAATATGACTTGTTGCATGCCCATTCAGAAACACCACCAAAATTAAAAGAACATCACCTGACCAGGTCCATGAAGGCATCAGCTGTGGGGATGGTCTCAATGCGACCCTCACGGTGCAGCCCCTCCTTGGAGCCCTTCCCGGGATGGATGATGGTGACCATGAGGATGCCGATGAAGACCGCGATGACCGTGGTCACCATGTAGTACACAGCTGCCCGCATCCCCATCCGCCCTGTTGCCTTGTTGTCCAGAGACGCCATACCTGAAGGACAAATAGTAAAGCCCCCCCGCAACCCCATCCACACCCCACAACCCACTCTCCCATTCATCTGCTCCATCCTCCTGGACCACCAGCACCAAGCATGCCCTCCTCCTATAACCCACTCCAAACCCACCCATCACCCATTTACCCACTCTGCCATCCATATACACCTTCACATCTCACGCCATGCTTTAGCCCAAACATGACTCCAGCAACCATACTACCTTCTCTCTACTCTAAACCAACCTATTCCCCACCTTCCCTAATTCCTATCGTGCACCATAGCCTCATTTTCATTCCCCTTTTCATCACACTCTCCACCCCAAACCCCATCTCCCTCCAACCCACATCGTGGTACAGCAGATACTGCTGGCGCTCCTCCATACCTATAATCAGCCTAATGCACATGTCTTTCAGCTACTGTGAGTGTTGGCTGCCCCTTCTGAAAACTGCTTAGCAGAGAAGGAGTTACCTCACCCAGAAGCCCCAAGGGCAGACTACAGCCAATGACTGACTGGTACAGGGATTCAAAAAAAAAACAGCTCCCTTGATTCAGGTGTGAGCAGAGTTGGGGGACAATTTCATGATGCCGTTCACACTCCACAGCCCCCCAGGAGATCAGGCTCAGAGGCCAGCCTGCTTCTGAACACACATCTTTTCTTAGCTTTTTTTCCCCACCTGCTTCCCTCACTTGCTCGTGAGTTTCTCCCTCAATAAATAAGTCATACCTCTAGAAAACCCAACCCAAGAAGCCAGTCTTTCAGGCCTTGATCTTTTATTTGTGTCACCAAATCCAGGGACTGGCAAACTCCCATCCATGTGCTAAATCCAGCCCACTACTTGTTTTACAAATAAAGTTTTATTGGAACGGAACCATGTCCATTTGTATACATGTTGCCTGTGGCTGCTTTGGTGCTACAAGAACAGAACTGAATCATTGCAACCGAGATCAGATGGCCTTCAAAGCTGGAAATATTTACTATCTAGCCCTCTAGAAAAAATGTTTTCAAAGCCCTGCTTAATCCATCCATAGTCTGATCCCATCCCCTACCTTCCATTCTGGTCCTTCCACCTCACTCACCTCCTACATCTTCAACATCCTACCTCATGCCCACCTACCCAATATTCCAGTTACCTTCCCTGGGTGACCTCCCTCCTCATTCTTTCCTTCCCCTCTAGATAACACTAAGCCCTTGCAAGCTGGCATTTTCCTCTTGGGAGAAATACAGGAAAGTTTCTGAAATAAGTAGAGCAGGTCATATGGGGACTGGAACCTGACTATGGGACAGGTGCAGGTTCCACGTTCGAGATGCTGAGGTGGGAAAGGGAACTCATGCTTGGGACAGCCGTGGCTCTATCTTCAAGCTTGGGCTTTGGACAGATCTTGGAGGCCAGCACTGGCCTGGGCTTTCTCACCTGTGACCAGACTGGAGACAATGAGGGGTAGCACCAGCATCTGCAGCATCCTCATGAGAAGCTCACCAGGAAAGGAGAAGTACTTGATCTGGCGGTAAGTGAGCTGGTAAGGGCGCAGGGCAAATGCCAGGCTGACCCCTAGAGCCAGAAAAGGGGATCCATGGAGTGGACAGTTGGTCACTGAGCCCCAGGTAGCGACCATACATCCCAAGAAGGCGTGTGTGGATGGATGGGTGGTGAGAGAAACATTTGTGTGGATTTGTGTGGGCAAATTGGCATGTGTGTATATTGCAGAAATATGAGTGTATGCTACTATACTAACGTGTGCAGGTGCACATATGTCCACATTCATTCATGCATACACATGCATGCATATATGACCATGTATTTCAATCGTGAGTGTGTATGTGGACCTGTAAATAAATATGCACATACATTTCCTAGGTATCCATAGATGTGTCTTGTGTGCATATGTTACTGTTTTTAAACATAGGAGTGTGTGTATTTAAGCTCATGTGCCACGAAAATTAATGTGCAGGTGTGAATGCATTCACAACGTCAAATACATTTGGCCCTCTGTTTTCTCAGGTTCCACATCATGAAATCAGCCAACCATGAGTGAAAAATTTTAGAAAAAAATTCTTTCTATATGAATATGTACAGTTTGTTTCTTGCCATTATTGCCTACAGGATAGAGTATAACAATTGTTTGCATAACATTTACACTGTAGTACATTGTATAAGGTATTATAAATTATCTAAAGATGACAAAGTATCACGAAGAATGTGCAGAGATTCTATGCAAACACCACCTCATTTTATTTAAGGAACTTAAACATCCACGAATACCAAAATCCATGAATGTTCGAGCCCCTGGATATCAAAATTCGTGGGTGCTCAAATCCTTAAATAAAATGGGCTAGTGTTTGCTGGAACCAATCGCCCCCACCTCAAAAAAAAAAAATGCTTGTGCCAGTGTGCACAGTTTATGTTTGCACCCTTTAAGTTCTCTGCATAAAACATGTTCATGCTTGCATGTGTGCATATGTAAGCTGTGCTTGCACAGTGAAGATGTGTGCACACGTGTCTATGCTTGTGACACTGTGTGCACACTGCTGCGTTCTGCACGTGTGTACTCAGGGGGGTTGGAAGAGTGGCAGGTGGGATGTGAGTGCGAGCGTGCGTGACGGGGGTGGAGCCCTTGGGGTCGGGACGCGGGCTCACCGATGACCACGGCGCTGACGGTGAGCAGGATGAAGGCGTTGCGCCGCAGGAAGCGCAACACGTGCTCGCGGGTCATGGTCTGCAGGCGCAGGCGCGCGCGCAGGGCTCTCTGCTGCAGGCGCTCGGGCAGCCGCTGCAGCCAGCCCACCCGGCCCAGGCGCTGGCCGCTTTCGCGCAGGAACAGGCTGTTGCCTTGACTGCTCATCGTCTCTCGGCAGGGGACAGTGGAGCGGGCTCTGGTGAGGGAGGGAACAAAAGGCGAGAGTGGGTGGAGGGAGAAGGATTGGGAGAGCCCTGGAGAATGCTCAGACGTGGGACTGCAGGGATGCGCCCTTGCTAGGATACCTGCTGCGACACTACCTGGTGCTCAAGATCACGTCCTGCCAGCCGAGGGTCAAGGTCTCCAGCATCAATCCTGGGTATGACTTGGAAGAGACGGGTCAGAAAACCACAATACAATGGACGCTTTTGCCATCTCCTGCCTGCAGCTCCCTCCTTGTTTATTTCACTAAGATGATCACAAGCAATCAAGGGCTGCCCCAGCTCTCACCAAATTGACAAGGCGTTGCTTAATGCCGCGACCTGCAGAGGTCTGGACAAGGCGCCTTGACACTATTCTCCAAAATAGTGTCAGTTTGGAGCTCTGGTCTGAAGATGCCAGTAGTCGACTTCCCACAATGACAAAATCAGCAGGTGCGTGGCAAAAAATGGGTGCCTAATAAATGCAGCTGCTCTGTGTGCATGACCTGGGGGGAGGGGCAGAAGGAAGAGGGGAAGTCACTTGGGAAAGAAATGGTGACAGTTTTTGGCATAGGCTTCATGGGCCTCTCTAGACTGCACTATTGTGTTTCCCAGACTTCAGACTTCAGTGCCTCTTTATATTTGGCCAAATCCACCTAGCCTTATTTACTTAGCTAAAAAAAAAAAGTATCCAAAGTAGAATACATTTGTCCATTTTTATTTATCTTATAAATGAACGCAGAACTGTAGGCATGGTTCAAGCTATAGAGAGCCTGCTTTAAAAGCTGAAAGCCCTGAGTTCAAACCCCAGTCCCATCCCCCCCTCCAAAAAATGTATACAAAATGGAAACCATAGATCACTAATTGATATGCACTTTTTATAAATACTAAATAAAATGTGGCTGGGAACAGTGACCTGTAATCCCAGCCTCAGAAGGCAGAGATCAGGAGGATCACAGTTTGAGACCAGCCCAGGCAAAAAGTTTGCAACACCCCCATCTCAACCAATAAGCCAGCTGTGGTGGCACACACCTGTGGTCCCAGCTATATGGGAGACCATAGGCAGATGGATCAAGACTCAGGCCAACCACAGCAAAAAAGAAAGAGTCTATCTAAAATAAAACCTAAAAGCAAAAAAGGCTGAGGGAGTGGCTCAAGTGGTAGGGTACCAGACTAGGAGGCATAAGGCCCTGAGTTCAAATCCCAATACTGCCAAAATAAATAAATTAAATAAGTAAATAAAAAATAAAATGCATATAAAGAATGTAAACTTCCCCATTTTGGGGAAATTGTGGCTTTCATGAATGGATCTAAGGAAATTTTCCCTTCATAAATTCCTTCCTCCATTAAAAAATATAGGGATGTATTAAAATTATACATTACAACTGTGTTGGTATAAAAGTAAATACAAAATGGGCATTGTGACACACACCTGTAATCCTAGCACTTGGGAGGCAGAGGCAAGAGGATAGTGAGTTTGAAAGCAGTCTGAGCTACACAGTGAGAACCTGTCTCAAAAAACAAAAACAAAAACAGATAAATACAGTCTCTGATTTAGAACAGTTTGACTTACAATGTTTCAACTTTACAACAATGTGAAAACAATACACACCAGTAGAAACCCTCATTTGAATTTTGAATTTGAGTCTTCTCCCATACTAGCAATAAGTGGAATGACCCCCTTAGCCACAGCTCCCCCACCACCACAATCACGGAAAAAAAAAAAAAAACAAGAATGCACTGTGCTGTGTTACTAAGCCAGAATCCCCAGTAGGTATATTCAGTGCATTTTTATTCATATTTTCAACTTAAAATAGGCTTAATGGGACCCATCCTAATTGAAGGAGCCTCTGTATATTATTTTAGAACTATGTGGAGGTGACAGTCACAAAACATTGAGGAAGTACTAAATGTCACCATTGTCACTTTCCAGTACTTGGTTTTATGATGTGAATTTCACCTCGATTTAAAAACGGATCTCAATATCATATATAAGAACATTTTCTTTGGCCTAAACGTTTACCATTTTCTTCTGATTTTAAAAGAAATGAAAATGTTTCCATGGCTCCTTAAAAAATATGGTGGGCTCTGGGCTCTGGGCCTCCTTGCCTGGGGGAGAAACCAGCCTGACCTACATAAGACCTCTTAGCAAAAAAAAAAAAAATGTGGCAGTGTCCCTGGGCCAGGTGTGCTGAGAGTTCTATTCATTCTTCTGGAAGAATGCACAGGTCTGTCTCCCACTGGCCACAAAGAATGGGAGAGAATAGAGGGTGGGAAGGATGGAAGTGAAGCCCTGTTTGGCAGCAGCTCTGTTCCTCCACCTAGGGCCACATCTCCCTTGGGACAGTAAGCTGCCCTGAGTCCCTTCCCTGTTTTTCAGTCCTGGGATGGTAACAGCTCACTCCAGCCCCCAGATACGGACCCCATGTGCAGGCCCCCAACTTGGTTCATTTCCCTTAGCCCTGCTCACATCTTTGAACAGTTCTTAAGGACTCCTTAAGGGGTTGGAGATGCGGCTCAGAGGGAGAAGGATTGCCTGGGTTCCATCCCCAGCACTGCAAAGAAAAAGTGAGAGGGAGGAAAAGAGGGCAAGAGAGAAAAAGAGAGAGGGAAGGACTGGGATTTAAGGTCTTCTCACTTCTCCTCCCTTTTGAATGTGCTGTCTGAATCACAACCAATACACCAGATCCATCTGACTCTTGGGGGAAAATATCCTAAGCCAAAGGAAGATGTTCAATATTGTATCCTATGCTGGACTCAGTACCTATGTGGTCTCCTGGGATTCTAGCACCTATTTAGACAACCTGACACTGAGTGTGATGGCGCACACCTGTAATCCCAGCACTCAGGAGGCAAGAGGATAAGGAATCTGAGGCCAGACTGGGCTACATATCAAGTTCCAGGTCATCCCAGGCTACATAATGAGACTCTGTCCCCAAAAGAAAATTAGAGAGGGAGAGGGAGAGAGACAGACAGAAAATGTGGCTTACCCAGCTATATTCTGAGGAATCACAGCTCCCACCCCCAGTCCTACCTCTTTTCACCCCTGGTGCCTGAATTCGTACAGGGCAGGGCTGGTAGACTCTTAATGGTTTCAGCATCACCTTTAAAAAAAGTCCCCAGAGTTTTTTTTTTTTTACTGTCTCGGACTGTGGCTGCTTTTCTGGGCTCACTGTCTTCCTTATCTTCCTCTGCTCTTCACCCCTTTCAAAGGGATGGGACATCTGTCTGGGCCTTCCAGGCCCTACACCCTCCGGACCTAGGGTCTGGTTTCCACTGCCAAGCCCTGGACTGGAGGAGTGGCTCAAGTGGTAGAACACCTGTCTAGCAAGCATGAGGTCTTGAGATCAAACCCCAGTACCGCCAAAAAGAAAAACAAAAACAAAAAGCCAATGCCAAACTCCAGTCAGGATCTTGCTCCAAATGGACAGGTCACCTGAAACCTGGATGCTGCTTTTTACCTTGCTGTGAAAAATCATAGACACAGGAAATGATCAGCCCCTCCCTGTCCTCTGGAATATTCTGTCCCCAGTTACCAAATGGTAACATGAAGTTGCTCAGAGCAAGTGCTCAGCTGAGAGCCAAACTAGACAGGAACACCCTGAAACCTGGAGTTATCGTTCCTTTTTCTTCCTTATAAGATGCACTACAGTCGCCTCTCTGCAGCTCTGCATCCACGGATCAAAAATATTCAATGGTGAGCTGTGTGCTTACCACATGTAAGGCCCTGGGTTCAATTCCCAACACCAAAATAAAGAAAATTTTTAAATTTGCATCTGCCCAATTGTGGTGGTGCACACCAGTAATCCCAGTACTTTGGAGGCAGAGGTAGGAGCTAAAGTTCAAGTCCAGCCTGTGCTACATAGTAAGTTCAAGACCATAGTAAGACCCTGTCTCAAAAAAAAAAAAAGTGGTACCAGTGGCTCAAACCTGTAAATCCTAGATATCTGCGAGACTGAAATCTAGAGGATCAAGATTCAAGGCCAATCTGGGCAAACAGTTTAAGAGACCCCATTTCCAAAATAACCACATCAAGATGGACTGGAGGCGTGGTTCAAGTGGTAGAGCACCTGCTTTCCAAGTGTAAAGCCCTGAGTTCAAAGCCCAGTCCCAGCACAACAACTGCATCTGTACTGATCATGTACAGACTTTGTTTTCCTTATCATTATTCTCTGAACAATTTAACAACTATGCACGTAGCATTTATATTGTGTTACATATTATAAGCAATCTAGAGATAAATTATACAAAGGATGTGAATAGATTTTATGCAAATACTACACTATTTTTTATAAGGGACTTGAGCATCCAAAGCTTTTTGTATCTCTAGGAATCCTGGCACCAGTCCTCTACGGATACGTAAGGACAACTGTATTGTGCCAGAGTGGACAAGTCATACACTGTGGGCCAAATCCACTGCTTGTTTTTCACAATAAAGTTTTATTGGCACATGACCACATTCATTCATTATGTGTTATGTACAGCTGCTTTCAAGCTACAAAGGCACAGTTGAAACAGAGATTGAATGGGCTAAAGAGCTGAAAATATTTACTCTCTGGCCCTTAATTTAAAAAAGTGCGACCCCCAGCCTAGATATAAACACATTTCAAACACCACCTCCACCTTGTCAAACTGGTCCACAACTGCTGTGTGACTTAGATGGCTCAACACAGAACCTGGCACTCAGAACAGCACAGGGTGACCGTGAAATAGATGTCAGATGTGTTTGACAAAGAGTAGAAACACAACAGACAATCAAAGATAGAGAAAAATGCTCAGGTGGGAGGAAGGCTGTCTTCCTGTCCACCTTTCTCAGTCCTGTCTGCAATACTGTAAATACATATTGAAATCTGCCAAATTAAAATAATGTTAATTTTCCGCTCGGGAGGCTAAGGCAGGAGGATCATGAGTTCAAGGCCAGCCTGGGCTACAGTCAAAAATATATATTAATTTTTCTCTTTTCTTATTTTAATTGACACAATAATTGTAC